GAGGCCAAGTTTTGGAAACTTTCAGATACAAGCTCCGAAGACAACGTTATGGAATCTTCTAGATGCAAGTTCTCGGACCGATCGATGACATATTTTAGAATCCTTTGGAGCGACGTTCAGACGACCCAATCGGAAATCTACCACAGATGAATTTAGAGATCTTCCAAAAGCAAGCTCTGAGATCATTGGAAGCAATGTTTTGGGAAGATCTGATGGCTAATTATGAGTTTTACTGAATGCAAGTTAAGGGAAACTTTCATGAGAAAGTTTTCAGAAACATCTGAAGGCAAGCTCAGGCATCTTGCAAAGACCAAACCCTGAGATCTTTGGTAACCATTTTTGGTATATTCCGAAGGAAAATTCTGGGATCTTCTGAATACAAGTCAAGGGCAACTTTCGAAAGCAGTTTTTAGTAATGCCATATGGTAAGTTCAGGTATCTTGCGAAGATCATACCGGGAATATTCCAGAGGCTAACTTTGAGATGTTTGGAAGACTTTTTTTTATAATTCGAAGGCACGTTCTAAGACCCTCCGAGGCCAAGTTTTGGAAACTTCCAGTTGCAAGCTCCGAAGACAACGTTATGGAATCTTCTAGATGCAAGTTCTCGGAACGACCGATGACAAATTTTCGAATCCTTCGGAGCGATGTTCAGACGACCCAATCGGGAATCTACCCCGGATTGAATCTTCCGAAGGCCAGCAATGTTTTGGGAAGATCTGATAGCTAATTTTGAGTTTTACTGAATGCAAGTTCAGGAAAACTTCCATGAGACAATTTTTCAGAAACATCCGAAGGCAAGCTCAGGCATCTTGCGAAGACCAAACCCGGAATATTCCAGCGGCAAGCTCTGAGATATTTGGTAACCATTTTTTGGTGTAATCTGAAGGCAAATTCTGGGATCTTTCGAAACCGTATTTTGGGAACTTTTGGTGGAACTTTTTGGACACGGGCATGTCATGAGATCTTGTAACTGTAGGTTCTGGGAACTTTCAAAAGCAGTTTTTAAGACCACCGGAATGTTCAGAGTAGAGGGTCTGTAGAGAAAGTCACGAAACGTGAAAGTTGGAACAATCGATTATATGTCAAACGGCTTGGAAAATTCATTCCAATCGAGCAGAATGCATCAAATGGATGGGATGGAGTGGACGCCCTGTCGCTCTGTCTACAGGCTCGCCAGTTCAGAGATCTTGCGAAAGTTCGGGAAGGCAAGTTCTGAGATTTTTCGAAACCATGTTTAGGGATCCTCTGGTGAAGCCAGTTTTAGAGAAGTTATCTAGTTGGAATTCATCAGAAGGCATGTTCTGGAATGTGTTGGATTATCAAATCTGAGCATTTCAGAAGGCAGAGCAACCGAAGACCAATTCAGAGATTCAGCGAAGATTAAACACGTGATCTTGCACATACAAGATCAGGAATCTTTTAGAGACAAGTTTTAGGATCTTCTAAACCCTTGTTTTGGCAGAATACGAAGGCCAATTTTAGAAACTAAGCAAAGCATACTCTGGAATGTTCAGATGGCATCTTCTGGGTTCTTCTAAATGCAAGCTCTGAAAGCTTTCGAAGGTAGTCAAAGAGTACAAAGATTTTATTTTTAAATCTTTCAATCCGAGATCAAATTTCTGAATCCTCCGAAGAGAATGTTTTAGGAACTTCAAAAATCCTATTTTTTTTAGAAACTGTCCAATGTTCAGAAGTGGAATGTTTTCAATAATATCCGAAATAGTGTTTCCTACTCGGGACATCCCGGAATATTTACCAAAAATTATGTTGCCCACGTTGTTACAGTTTCCCGTCAAACAATTTTAGACGGATTTTTGGGGTGAAAGTTACAATAAATTTACCAGAGGAGTCAAATGAAACTTCTTAGGAGATTGTTTGAAGAAGCTTCCTGAGGATTTTGAACATCTTCCAAGGGAAGAACGTTTCGGAAGAAATCGAAAGAATTTTTCCACGAAATTTAAAATAAATTTGCGGTGGAGGCCTTGGCTGTCAGAAAACAATTCCATGTAACGCCTAAAAGACGAAACTTCCGGGGTTGTCGTAAAAAAAATCTGGGGTAGTTAAAAACGACTGAATAGAAACTTGCTGAAGAAGTTGAGTGAACCTTCCAGAGGAAGTCAAAAGAAGCTATTGTGAAAGCTAGAAGGACTTCTGCAAGAAGTTTCCGATGAAATCATATGAAAATTTATAGGAAAGCTGGAAGAGACTTCTGGAAAAATTCGGAAATATCTTCTGAGTCAAAGGAAACTCTCCAGAGTAGTCATAAATAAAAATCCGGAAGAATTCGGAAGAAAATTCGATGGCAGCTCCAGCTTCAGCTCCAGACAGCTTAATACTTTTCTGGACCCTGAATAAAAATATTTCCCGAGAGTCATAAGCCAGAACACCAAAAAATGCCGGGAAATGGAAACACTAATCCGAAGACATCTTGAGAAGGCCATTTAGGAAATACAGCCAAACCAAATAAAATGCAGTTAAGAATGTTTTCATGGATACATAAATCTAAGCCTATCTTTTGTTTGATTCGATAATACAATTTTTGGATCAATTGCCAATCAACAAATATTTAATTTCAAAACCCTGAACCTACTTTCGTACTACGTTGTATCAAAAATTTAAAATAACATACAACATCCATCGTCGTTGATTGGCTATTAGCTTAAGTCGTCCCCCATCATAATCGAATCCACCCCCTCCCCCCCGGAGTTCAATTATTCCCGCAAAATCGCCGTCTCTCTAGCTCTCTGAGGCACCGCCGCACATTAGAGAAATCCTCATAATTATCACTGAATAATTAACTCCCCGAGCCGGAACTCGACGGTGGACTTCACATGTACGTTCAGAGAAGGCTCAAAGTGTGCGTCACAATCAATCACCAAACCCCCCGTAAACCTCACCTGCCCCGTGTTATATTTAATTCCCGCTGGTCGCCCAGCGTTAGACGACCGGGACGGACGGGACTTGACACAGGATCGACTCCCAAGTTTTAGTCGGTAGCGAGTCGTAAAAATAGCCATCGCACACCGGCCGTGGTTGTTTTAATTGATAACTATATATTCCAATTTAATTAATTGACAATTGACGCGGTCACGAGTGTGCTTCTGTGTGTATGTGTGTGTGCGAGCGAGCCAGCGAGCGGTCTATAATCCCTCGCGAGAAGCACCACGGAATATCAGCGATCCCGGCTTAAAACAATTTATGTTGCAAACCGCAGAGATCATATTATATTCCATTAATTTATAGCTTCTGGAATCCAGATGGATGGATTATGTCGAAATCCCTCCTGCTTTGAAACAAAATGTGGTTTCGAATAGACGTCACATGGAATTTTGCATTGGCATCATTTGAAAGAGCTTCGTTTTCTGAGCACAACGCTATTTTTACCGATCCCATAGACATTCATCTTGATTTTTAAATGTGTTATAAAATTTTTACATAATCTAATTGACAAATCAAAGTTGACACTCGTGGAGAATAGAAGAACTATGAAAGTGATGATGGTTTCAACATTTTCCACGTGAAGGTATACGAATGCAATCTTAAAATGCTTTTATTTTTCAAATGGAGCATTTTATTTAAATCTGGTTTCTGCTATAGTGGTAGAAAAGCTGAAATCTATGTATACACTTAAAAATCTGAAAAAAATTTTTTTTGCTATATTATATGTCTATTGAGTAGTCCTTAAGTTTTCTACTAACGTAGCATCAACCAGATTTAAATAAAATGCTCCATTTGCAAAATAAAAGCATTTAAAGATTGCACTCGTATACCTCACCGTGTAAAATTTCGAAACCATCATCGCTTTCATAGTTCTTCTGTTCTCCACGAGTGCCAACTTTGATTTGCCAATAGTTGACAGCTCGCTCCCGTACAAAGTTCCACCGAGGGGCGCTAAAATGGTGATTTTTGCTAATGTAATCTCATGTATTTAAAATACTTTCAGTGAATCAAAATTGGTACAATTTTGGACTTTCGCTCCATTTGACATGCAGATTACGTTTATGCAATTACATTAAGTACCTCTACAGAACTCAAATTATTTAATTAAATATAAGACAAATTTCGAAAAATATAGCGGTTTTTATACGTCATCTGATAGAGCTTCGTTTTCTGAGTACAACGATATTTTTGTTCGATCTAATCAAGATTTAAAGCAAAATATTTTGCCACTAGAGTTGACAGCTCGCTCCCGTACAAAGTCCCAACGAGGGGTGCCAAGATGGTGATTTTTTTTTCTAATGTTATCGAAGTTATTTAAAATTAAACCAGTGCACCAACATTGATTAAATTTTGAATTTCGGTTCCATTTTCTATGCAGATTACGAATATGCATTTCCCTCAATACCACTGAACAACCCAATTGGGTTCTTTAGCGGTATTGAGGTAAATAAATATTTGTAATCTGCATGAAAAATGGAAACGAAATCAAAAATTTAATCAATTTCGGTGCACTGGAACTATTTCAAATAAGTGCGATTACATTAGCGAAAATCACCATCATAGCTTTAAATCTTGATTGAAAAATCAAGATGAAAGTCTATGGGATTGAACAAAATCAAGACTAACAATTGAAAAGGCCTCAACTCCATTTTGTAAGCAAATCTTGTAAGGCCATTTTCACCAGAATCGAAACCAGAAACACAATCGGGTTGGTTTGCGTTGTCGGTTCGCGACAAAATGGCCTTACGAGGTTTGTTTACAATGTAGAGTTGAGGCCTTTTCAATTGTTTGTCTTGAAATATCATTGTGCTCAGAAAACGAAGCTTTTTCAGATTATATATGATAACCGATATAGTTTAAAAAAATTAAAGAATTAGATTTAAGTTGATAACAGTGGCTCCCGAATTCAAGCTCCTGCAGACCCGAGAAATCACATGCCATAAAACGCCGCTGTCGGGACCGAACTATACTTTCGGCCGGATGATGATTTGTGTTTGTCATTGTCAATAGATATAGATTGATATAGGTATACGCATTAATACTGTTCGCTACACTCACCTGAAGTTGGAGAACCACTTGACCAGCTGGGCGGTGTTGTTCTTGTTGAACTTGATGTCCGGGAAGTACATCTTGAGGACGGCCGAACTCGGGTACCGGACCCAGAAGAACATCAGCTTCGCCTTGCGCAGGTGCATCGGGGTCAATGTCGACGAGTACACCGGAGTTAAGGAATTGCAGCTGTTTTGATAGTGTGGTGGATAATACGGAAGGGGGGTTGAAATTGTAGTCGGGTGTGATTGATTACTGATTTGCAACTGACTCGCCGGGGGCGACGCGGATTAGAAACTCACACTCGTACGGTTTCGACCGAGGTATTTCGCTAATCTTATTGTTATTGTTTTTGTGTGTAATTGAACCGACCGGTTTCGTTCCTTCTGAGGAGTAGGGAAACTGTACAAGTACCCAGCCGATTCTGTAGGAATCGAATCGCAGAAAAGCCCACACCGACAAGGTTCCAACGGACAAAAACGGTTCGATAAATCTGATTAAAATCGTACAAGGAACGGGGTAAAAGAAGAAGGATAATGCTTTTAATTTATTTATGTTTAAAACGGTGCGAGCTAGCAACCGTGAGTCGGTTGGTCTGGCAAGGGGTGGGCGCGGCAAGCGGCAAAGTTCGTTAGCAAAAGAAAGGCAATCGGTTCTGGTTCTCACGTAAGCGCTTTTTTTTTCGCACCTTCCACGCAAAAGAAATTATCTAACCCCTACTGAAGGAACGTGGCAAGACGGTTTGAATAATTCAGAGTAGGAGAGCTGGGACCGTGACGAGGGTGTGAATCACTTCCGCTGTCGCGCGGCAAACCAAACGAGTGCTGCCGTTGAAGTCAGATGCAAATAGTAATTAAAATGAAATTATCGTACTGTAAATGGGTTTTCATGAAACCATATGAAGACACTTGCTTTGAAAAGGATATAGTAGGCTCCATGCCGTTGTAGGAGATGTCCGCCGAGTTGCAGTCCGAGTTACGGTCGTTCACGTCCATCGACGCTCGGATGTGGCCGTAGTCGGGCGAATTGCCGTGGTGGGCAGCTGCCAGCAGTGCCGGGTGCAGCATCGTGGGCGGGTGCGGTAGCGGAGGCGAATCTCGTGGGTCCATCATGCCGTTGATACCGGGCGGGCTGGAGGACACCTTCATATGGTGGAACTGCGAAGGCTGCGGTCCATGGGGACCACCGTGAGGGGGGCCGTGCGGGTTGAAGAAGGGGCTGTAGGGCGAGAACACTTGGGACTCGTGCAGGGAGGGGTTTGGTATCGCAACCGACGTCGGCAACGACACCGGTAGCATCGACGGAGGTGGCGGGTGGAACGAACCACGTGGAGAGGGGCTCTCGGTTGGGGTACTCGCTTGCACGCTCGGTGGTTGGCTGTTGAACTGCTGCTGGTTGTTATTTTTACTACTGTTGTTATTGTTATTATTGTTGTTGCTATTGTTGCTGTTGTTGGCATTGTTCAAGTTGCTGTTGCTGCTTGCAGTGTTGCCACCTTGATTGCTATTGTTTTGATCTAATTGGATCGGATTGCCGGACGGGATGATTCCATCCTGGGCCAGGATCCTACTCACGGTTCGTGGCGTGATTCGGGTATCCGTTACCTTATGGCGCTTCTTCTTTGGCGTCACGACAAGGCTCAGGGCTTCGGCCTGTTCCGGATTCTCTCGTGGCTCGGGCATACAGAAGGGATTCACCTGACTGTTGCCGAGGGCACTCATCGAGTTGTACAGAGCTGCGGCGGCTACCGAGTTGAGGTTCTGCGGAGGCTTCGGCGTTTGGAACATAGCTGTAGAAGGAGAAGGTCGAACATGAGGTGGCATATTGATCTGGTTCATGTTATTCAAGGTTTTGGGATCGTGCGTGGGCGCGTTGTTCACGTGCATCGGCATTCCCATGGGAGGAAAAGCGGTGCCGTTCAATCGGGGCACGTTGCCCTGCTGACCGGGGATCATGGGGTTTCCAGCCGGAGACTGGTTCACCACGTTCGGATTAGGTGCACTGTTAAGGTTAGTATTAAGCATTGGTCCATTACCTGACTGGCTGTTACTGCTATTGTTGGGGTTGGGTCCGCGATCCGAAGACACTTTAGTCCGCGGCGACTTGGAACGATCCAGTAGCTGCGATGCCATCATAAGGTCCTTGTTAAGCTGTTCGGCGGCGGCTGCCGCTGCTTCCGACTGTTTTCCCAGGAATCGTCGCTGATGGACGAACCTCGTCACGATCGAATCGACCAAATTGGATAACGAGGCAGTGATTTCCGTTTTCAGGACATCGGCTAGGCCTTCCAGGTCCGTGCCGGACATTGGTCCCACCGAGCTGATGCTCGATCGCATCATGTTTAGCCGGCTGGTCAAATCCGAAGGAATAGCTGAACCCTTGGGGATCTGTGGCAGGAGGGGCAATGGTGGCATCTGTGGTGGTGAAATGTGGTTCGTCTGAGAAGGAGGTTGATGTTGTTGCATTTGGTGCTGCTGCTGCTGCTGTTGTTGATGCTGCTGCAGTTGCATTTGCTGTTGCTGCTGCTGTTGTTGTTGTTGCTGCTGCTGCTGCTGAGATTGACTCGATTGATGCTGAGGAGATTGCAACTGTGGTTGGGGTGGTTGGTTCTGCTGTTGCTGCTGTTGTTGCATCATTTGCTGACTGTTATTCCGCTCTTGTTGTTGTTGTTGTTGTTGCTGCTGCTGCTGCTGCATTTGCTGTTGCTGCAGAGCTTGCTGCTGAAGCAGTTGTTGGTTTGAATTTTGCAGGTTCCTCTCTTGCTGTTCGGCGACTTCTTTCACCATCCGCGCTTCCTGTTCCATGAGCAGTTTCTGGTACATGGCGGCATTGCTCATTTGGTTGTGCTGGCTCATTCCGTCGTGTGGCAGTCCTGCGGCTTGTTGCTGCATATGCTGCAGGAAAAGATGCGTCCCGTTGAATCCGGCTTGCATGTGCGGATGCGTGGGTAGTTGACTGTGGATCTTGGCCGACATCATCTTGCTCATCATCTGCAGCATGCTGGACGCATCGGCGTTCTTACCCACGTCCTTGATCGGCGTCGATGCCGGGGAACTCTGGATCAGAGACTTGTCCGGTGACAGGTCCGGGTGGTTCGAGTCGTCCTCCATGATGTCACTCGCACTGTCGTCCACCTCCTGGGTATCGGACTGCTGCTCCATCCGGGAACATAATTGCACATATTTCTGCTGCATTTCAGCGAGCTGTTCCTGCATCGATCGCAGCTGGGACTTAAGTACGTCTTTCTCGACGCGCTTCTGATGGATGTGCGGAGTGACTTCCATATCATCGTCGTCATCATCCTGATCGGCACTGGCACCCAGCATGAAGTTCTGCAGCGTTAGACCGAGATTTAATCCGGCTGCAGCTGCGGCAGCATACCGCTCAGCGGCGCTATTATCATGCTGCTGCGGGTGGTACAACTTCCGTTTCTTGCATCCATTGACCTGTCCCTGCTGGGAACCCAACAGGGCAGGGCTGGCACGCATCGACGACACGATATTTTCCACTCGTGCCCGCTTCAGCGTCAGCGATTCCGAATCGTTCTTACTCGGCGCCGGACTTGGCGTTCGATCGTCCCGATCCTTATCTTCGAGACAATCATCCATATCCAGTTCCTGTTTGGTAATTATCACACCATTGCTGCCCGAGGCAGGTGACGGCATGATTTCATCGACCTCATCCGGAAGCGATGCCACCAGCTCGTCAATCACATCACTTTTTTCCTGTTTGGGATTCACACTAGAACACCGACCGGCACCATTGCCACCTCCACCACTACCGCTAACACCATTCAGTAGCCGCTCGGTGTGGGCCAGCTCCGAGGCTAGCATATCATCACAATTGCTATTGTTCGAGTCCAGAGAAATTGGCCTAGTAGGTTGACTGTTGTTATCACTGTTGTTGGTTTGATTATTGGTCGCACTGTTCTTCTGATTCACCTTGTTTGAAGCACTGTTGTTATTATTAGCACCTAGTTCACTAGAGTCACTAACATCACCACTACCACCGTTCACTGTTTCGCACTTGCTTATGTCGTAGATGTTATTGTTCTTGCTGATCACGTTGTTATTATCGGGCGATATCCGGTCGCCGAGGGCCGAACTCTGGTTGCTCACCGTTCGCAGCTCGTGATCGAGGGCCATCAGCTCCTTCTTGCCCTGTAGGATGTTGCGCAACATGTGATGCGCCAAATCGTTCGGCTGTGGTGTTCTAGAACCACCGTCAAGGTCTATAACACCACTGCTGCTGTTACTGTTACTGTTGTTGTTGTTGTTGTTGCTGCCACTATTGGCAGTGTTGATCTGACTGTTACTACTCCTTCGACCCATCATTGCAGATCCATCTGACGTGGGCGAATTGTTATTACCACTGTTAGTGTTGTTGTTAGCCGTACTGCTATTGTTGTTGTTATTATTCAGATTCGTCGTACTCTCGAATCCATGCTTGCTCGTTGGGGTATTGCTATTATCCGCTGCATTGGCTGCCTCAATCGATGATAGCATACTGATACTGTCCGGATCGCTGGCGTCCTGTGCTTGCTTCACTTGTCTTCCCAAGAGCTCGTTGAGCATCTTGTTGGCTGGCCCGTAGCCAAACAGTCCACCGAAATGCTGCTGGCTTTGGCTAAAAATAGCCCCGTATAGACCACCGCTCATGAAGGACGACGGTCTGGAACTAAAGTTCGGTATCGAAGAATAACTATTTCTTGGCTCTCCCGCGTCTACGCGCTGTCTGGTTCGTTTGTTTTTCTTTAGCAACTTATCGACGTATAAACCGAAAGAATCAGTGTCCTCCTCTGATGACATCATAAGTGGCAAACAGCTTTATTGGCCCACGGACCAGCGCACCAAGGTGGGAGAAACTCTCCCCTCCCCACGGTTGTTGTTGTTGCTGTTGCTGTTGCTCTTGCTGATGTTGCCTCCGGCCGATGATGGTCTTCTTGCTAGTAGTACAACAATAATACCAAGAACCTCGCCGGCGATACATACGACGACTTGAACGTTGACGGCTACAGTGACGACGACGACGACTGGCGAGCGCCCCTTCCAACAATTCCGAACAGTACCCCTCTCTTAACCCGGCCTTATGTTTCCCCTTCCATCGCATGGACCTGTGTGTGCGGATCAAAAGAGAGAAAGAATGCATGGAAGAAAGAAACAAGCAAAAAGAACGAACGTCAATAAAAGGAGAAACGACGGTGGGCTATTATTATAGAATGGTTTCGGGTGCGAGCGAGACGTCGCTATTAGCGCACTCAAGCAACGACGACGTCGCGGTGTTTTGATGTGTTGGAAAAACGGGTTCTCCGACTGACGGAGGGGAGGCAAGTGAGCACATTTTCTTGGCTGTGTGAAGTTTTTTTTTTCTAGCTACAATACAGTTTTTCTTTCAAGCTAGTGGTAGTGCATTTGAGGAGAGTAGTGTAGTTGATAGATGTGTAATAAAATTCTTTTTATTCCAGCGTTTTTGGTTCGTTGAAGGCAGTGAGGAAAAGTTTTGAAAGTTTGTTTGGCATCGAATGCAGCACGGGCAGAATGCCATAGGCAGCCCATGTTTTGCTTTCGTGCTTTTCTGCCCTTATTCGAACTTCTTGCGGAGCGTTGCGGCTTTCGGTTGTAGGGTGGATCCATATGCGAGTTTTCCCAATAAAATAATTTCTGAAACTGAATAAAAACTGTAATTGGACGCTAAATTTAAGGTATGAAAACCAGCAAAACGGATTTCTGGAACAAGATCAGCAAACTCATGATTTGCTGAAAGTCAGGTTACAGCTAATATTTTTACTGAAAAGTACAGCAAGCAGTAACGATTTGCTACAAATTTGCAAAAAGCTGTCAAAGCGTTAACGTTAAAAACCCATCTAGTAGCATTGCACAAAAGTAAAAATAGTTATCTGTAGGTTTCCGCGAAAACCCATCTCAATTTCTTGGGTGATTTTTTATTCCACTTGGTAAGTTCCTGTAAATTAATTGCCGTAGATATATATTTATTGGCCCGAATAAAAATTAACCATACTAAATCAATAGAACCTATTGCCACAATGAAAAATGTTATTATCAATCACATTAAAAATACCAGTGGAGTGCTTTTTCGGCTCACAATAAATTCTATTGGTTTTGAGTGCCTATCATGCCAACTAACATAAACCGTACCTATACTGACTGATGATTTTGATCAAACATATCTCTTCATTAGTCATTACAACCATGCTTGGCATACACAGTTTTGGTCACGAACTGCTCATTTGCTAATATCTTTGCACAAAGTTGACGAAACATAGTTTTTTTTTGAAGATTTATCTACTCTTTGCATGTCTATAGTAAACTATGATCCTAATCTCTCAATTACTTCAAAGAAAAATAAATTCTAGAATAAATTTCAACAACTGAGTGAAAAGTTATTAACACATAAGCAGTTGGTGTGATTACAACTCTTTGGCTTTGAGTTTGTATTCTTTTATTTATTTTTTTTTTAGTTTTAAATGAGCTTCATATAACAACTATAATAAATGTTTATCTATATATGTTTAACTTTAACATATAACTATTATAATAAATGTTTTCAATAACCCCCCAGTCAACTCGAGAAGATGGGAAACTCGGAAGTTATTTCAGTCGGTAACATTACTTCCTTTGATATGAGTGAGAGGTGGAGAGGATACAGTAATTCGCTCCCCCTATCCAGGTATTTTTGAATAACATATCTCAACATACCACTTGACAAGATAAGGAACACCGAAGTTATTTCAGTTTGAAGCTTCACTTCCATCAATATGAGTGAGGGGACGGAGTGCTATAAGCCCCCCTCTCTAACAGTGCCTATTAGGCTATGCAATTCCGGAGAACTTCAAGATTGGGGCGTAATCACGCGTCAATCACCGATTTCTCGCGAATAAAAGCTCAATCCGAGGCTCAATCTAAAAAACTTACACCACAAACAGGTAGATTAATGATTCCTCCATAGTTTGTTTGCAAGATTGAGCTTTTATTCGCGAGAAATCGGTGATTTACGTGTTTGTTTACAAAAGCAATTACGACTAAATTTCAAAGTTCTCCGGAATTGTTTTTGAATAATTCATCTGAACATATAAACTTGACAAGATGAGAAACTTCGAAGTTATTTAATTTTGAAACTTTACTTCCATTGCTGTAGTAAAATTGCGAGAACTTCAGATTTGTTCCAAAAATGTCAAGCACCTAAGGACAGTTTCATTCAATTCAGAAAAACAGCGAGCATTTAAATAGTTCAAAAACTTAAAAATAGTCTCATCAAGAAAAATGTTTCAAGAAAGTCACGGATACGCAGAAAAAGCTGGGAAGTTTAGACATATTTAGAGCAATTTTATCAACTTCTGGGCAACTCCAGGAACATCAACAGAAGAGTAGCGAGAAAATTAAGGAGCAGCCCCAAAAAATAGTAGGAACTTTAAAGAAGTTCCCATAAATGAAAGGAGAAGGCGGAGAAGGTGATGTTTCTTGTGCACACTGTGAGATAGCAAAGTTCTGTAAAATTGTCGGCACTTCAGGGAATCTTGATCTTCATTTTGGTACGCACCATAGAAGCTGATATTTGTGCACTTAAAGTTTCGAAGTGGTTACGAGAATAAGGATCTCACAGCGAAACACCTTAAGAGCAGTCAAAATCTCGATCACAATGTCTTCAGAAACGTTCTGACATTTGGACACCATAAAAGATCAGTGAAGATTTGTGTCGATAAATTCAGGAGAGCACCAAAAACGTTTGCAGAGTTTTGAGAAACTTTAAGAAGTTCCAAGTATTTTAGGGAGGTTGGAAAATTTCAGAAAACTTCAAACATGTTTCAGGAACATTACAGATGTCCAGAGAATTTCAGGGAAGCTTACAAATTTTTAGGATAGTTAAATTAATTTCAAGGAGACTTGTGAGAACTTAAGAATAGTTTCGAAAACATAAGGGAAGTTCAGTGAACTTCTGGCAGTTCAATCAAAGCAGAATACTAGGTATTTTAGTGTCCTCTTTCTCGGTCCCTTTCATCCAATTAATACCCCCCGTATGCAAGGTAATTTTGTGGTTTTGCTGCCCCCTTGGCAGAGATGAAATTTTGCGCACTTTTTTTTTATCAAAGCAATCACACTAAAATCAGAGATGTCCCATTTTTTAATTATTCGATTAACAACTAATAGATTATTTTTTGTTCGCTGTGCTGTCATTTTTCCTCCAATGAGAGTGCAGCATATGTTTGAAACGATGGGTGATGATCCGCTGGAGAAGTTAATGCTTATATCGGCATGATATAATCGATTACAAATATTTTACTTTTCGGTTCGTTAATCGATTAATCGATTATTCGAATGAAAATCGGCCACCACTAGATGATTGTGAAACGTCATTTCAAATATAAGGACCGTACACAAATAATGATACAATTTGAAAGGGACCGGGGGCTAATCACAAATGATGTTCCCCACGGTAACTGAAATAAACACGAGTGCTGACCGGTTGGTACAATTAACTTCAAGAAAATTGAACAAACTTTAAAGAAGTTTTAAGATACTCTGGGAATTAACGAAAGCTTTAGCAATGTTCTAAGATCTTCAGGGAAGTCCAGAGAAACACAAAAAAAATATACTTCATTTGGGATATTTAAAGATCTTGAAGAATTAGTCATCTTGTTTCGGCTTTTCAGTCATCAAGAAAAAGTGATGAGATTATAGTGTTATCATCGTCATCGTTTCGATCTATTGTAGTATATCCCGTGTTCTTAGTTTAGTGCATGTCGTATTACTCCATCACTATTGAGAAATGATGAAGTATTAGATTTTTTTTACACTTGTCATTCTTGCATTTATCGCAAGGATCCGACTCTTATTGAAAGGTCCCGCTATTTATACCCTTCGGAGTGTTGAAACACCATCCAAAAGCACGCCCCTTTGTGAGTCAAAATTGGATTCCTTAGTAACAAAATTAAACAATGACACCGATAATGACCATGCATCAGAACCCAAGTCTTAATCACTTCAAACTAGGGAACAACGAATAGAAGATTAGGAATAAAATAGATGAAGACTAACTAACTACTTTTTCGTTGTTTCAAGATCATCCTCGGTGGACAAAGCCGAGTCTTGTCACTATCAGCAAGGCATAACAAGTAACAAGGACTAAGATGTATTCCTTGGATTATTGAAAAATCCTGTTCCCCTAATTTGAAGTAGTCAGGACTAGGAATCGGTGACAGATCTTACATCCCGTAACGTACCACGAAAAGGTGATCTACCCACTTCACCATGGTTAGTTTTAGTTTAAGACAAGGTTGCAAATTCTCATTTCAGCTAAAACAATGTTTTTTTAATTATGAAATAATTGGATGTCATGATCATATTTTGAAATGGTAGGATACAAGAAGAGATTGCAAAGAATATGTTTGACATATTAAACCTGTTTATTTCACTTAATGAGAGTCACATTCAGCTATTTTTCACACACTCACTCACTCACTCACTCAGCGATCAGAAAATCGCTGATAGTGACTGATAGAAAGCAAAATTGACAGGTTTTATGTTTCAAACGCATACTTTGTATCCTCTTCTTGTAAGTTACAAGTAAAACATGCCATCATACCATCTTTTGGTTGTATTATTCCGAAAAACATTATTTAAGCTGAAATGAGTATTTGCAACCTTGGTTTAAGATTGTTAAAATGTTTGCACTAATTTTAAATTTTCTATCCCCTGAAGAGCGAAACGTCTTTCATGAAACATCGCAGCGTTTTGATTCTCCATTAAACTTCAATATCCGGACAATTTAGTTTTTTTTATTTTATGGCGGTTATGATAGCTGATAGCAGACAAGTTTACTCGTACTCTAGTTTAAATAAAAGGGATCTAAATTGTGTGTTCATTCCGAAATTACAATCAGCTCCTGAGAAAATCAGTGAATAACCAGCGCTAAGTTTACCATGGTAGGACTGGAGGGAGTCTTAATAAATTTCCGGGAAGAATCGGAAAATAATTTATGGAGTAAACTGGAAGAAAATTCCAAGGGAAAGTCCAAAGGAAAATTAAATAAACTTCAGAGAGTCAAAAAAAATGAGCATTCTTAAGGACCTTGTTTAAAAGACAGGGGGTAAGTCAC